AGGGGAATAACTTTCTGTAGCACGAGAGTGAAGATCAGTCCGCTTCCTGAACGTCTGACTCGGAGGTCTCATTCCGCTCGACCTTGCAGAAACCGGTCCAATCGCATCGGAGAAACCGCAGACTGAAGATTTCAAAATACGCTCCCGAACTCGAGGGAGGAGTTCCCTGACAACGATAGTGCCCCGTGAAGTACCGGAAGAATTATTCCCGTACGTGCGGGCATTGGAGAATGAGGACAGCCGTGAGTTTTTCGCCCTTATACGCCCATGTCGGATCAAAGGTCAATTCCCATCAGTCAGCGAAGCCGCGCTCATCCTCGTGTGGATTTCGCATCTCTTTCCCCGGAGGTCAGGATACGTGCACCAATTTTTTTTGCCGTGTCCGAGGAAGCGTCACAATGAAAGATTCAGAAAACCACTCCAAGTAGTCTCGCGAGAGTATGGTGGAAGGATATATTTCGATTCCACGCTGTCGTGGGTGTTTCACGACACCGGTATTTTTATTTAGTTTTTTCCGCGTCGGAATCTGCAGAGTTCGCTCTAGCCTTAAGAGAGCCCCCCAGAAATGAGGAGTTAGCGATTCAACTTCGCGCCTCAATGGAAACTCCGCAAGAGATTGTTCCGGCAATATCTTCTTACCGAGAAATGGAGCAAGCACCGATTTTTCAAGCATTGGAATACCAGGAAGAAAATAGCTGTGAGTCCCGTCATGCACGGACTTCTCAATCCCACACCTTGAGACAGGAAGTCGCTTTCTTTCCTCAATCTTCGACGACTTCCTACGCTCTTTTCCAGTATTATCCGACTTCCATCCGAAGAGCTGTTCCACATCCATCGGCCACGAATCACTGAATCAATCTCACGATATGGATTTCGAGGATTTGCCCATCCCTGATTGGGACACCAGACGAGCGGTCGATCGAACGATCAAACCGCACGAAAATTCGCCTAGCTCATCTCCAGGTGATTCGACACTCAGGTGTCCCGGTATGTGCTCAGATCCCATCAGCTTCGTGTCATGATATCTATGATTAGCTCGAGCGAGAAACATTGATCGTGGTCCTTTCTACAAGTCGTGCTTCTTCTCTCACAGGTTCGCCTGCCGAAACGACAATTCTGAAGTTGGAGAGTCCCGTTCGTGGGCAGAGAAACGGGAAAAGATCGCTCGATAGGACACCGACGACCATGATGGAACAATGCAATCTGGGTAACATCCTTTGAGCAATCCTCCGATGAATGCATGAATGCAATCGAGGGCAAGCTTGCACGCGATGCCCTTGATTCCTGTCTTTGATACGCAATGCCTCCCAAATTGCCTCCATCCCGTGGAGGTCCGGAATTGAATTCGATGGGCTGTCGAGCGGAGAAAAATGTTCTTCCCCCTGAATGAGACTATCTCAGAAGGGATGACGGCCCAACCACGGTTA